AGAGGAATGCTTCCTGTCCAAGTACAACTTAAGTATTTCAAATTCAGTCTTCAGGTATGCGTGGTTGTTACATGCGGGCACTTAAAATTTTGCTAAATTTCTGACTGAACAACTAGGTTACGTATAAAAACGATCGTTAAATGGAAATTGTACACTTACTTTATGCAAAACTTATGGTGATTTATGCTAGTGACCGTAAAAGGTAGATGTAATGCAACAACCATTCATGCAATTAATGGCCTGAGTACCTCAAGTCTGGCGCAAAAACGCATGATCGCACAGGCCCGCCCGGTGCGTTCCAGTCTAGGTTTGACAAACGGCCCCTCCAGCAACATTTCCACTTTTTAGCGAACCGGAGACCCGCATTTTTTCAAAAAACGAGCATTTACCGAAATAACGACCGGGCTTCACGCAAAAAACTGGTAATCATGTACCTGGAGGTCCATGCGGCCCTATAATGCAATATTTTTATCCCAACCGACGCCCTTTCTCGCGCATGCCGGAAGAGGCCAGAGCGCGGCCAATATGAGCCCAATTGCAGAGCAGGGATCATTCGTGCTATTAGCAATTTGTGAGATTAGTGCAAAAACGCATGATTGCACTGGCAAGCCTGGGTCCCAGCCTGGGTTTGTATTTGCTGTTTTGGGTTGATTAAAATGAATGTAAAGTTTTTCCTTTGATAATCCTCTAAAATTTTTGGTAAATTATGAGGAATACCTGATATTTTTGGGCCAAATCATAAATAACAATTTTAGTGTCCTTTCTTTTATGTTTCTTCTCTGCATTACACTTTGCAGTCTCGGATTTGGAAGCTCACTATATGCACAGTTGACAAAACAAAGTACTAACCGGAGAGAATCGCGACGATGAAAGCAATGAGCAGTGAAAGCAATGCAGATGGCCCAGCCAAGTTAATTACAGCATAGGGGACAATCACAAACACTCCAAATGGCAATGATAAAACCGAAGCTGCAGTGCATGAGCTGTCACAATAGTTTGAGATGAGTATCAATTTCAATAACTTAGACTGCTTTATTTCCGGGTTCGCCACTAGGGAATTTTGAATTTAAATTGTATTTGAGGATAATTTCGTAGACGAAGAAACTAGGAGACTTAAAACCAGTTTCGAATTGCCCTTACTAACTGACTAGAAGACCCTTGATTTCCTCATCTGTTCTGTTCAAAACTTAAGATATCAACGGAGTTTGAGCTTGAGTAATAGGGAGTAAAGAAGTCCGAACAGCTGCGGAATTCGGCAAATTGTAGGACTAGGTTTGAAGTGGTCATAAGATCGTTCTTTAAAAAAATTACCAATTCCAAGCAATGACGGCGTCTGAAGCTTCCGAATCCATTCAGAATGTACCAAGAAGCCATCGCCAACGGTTTTGTAGCGATTCAGTGCTGCGATCACACGGAATATCATATTGACTTCTAGTGGCACTTCTGTACTGCAAAGGTGGAGTTCCTGCCGCAAAGGATTCACCAAATAAACACTGTTGTTTGTCCTCACATAACACCGACAACCGATGTTCGTTTTGCAGCCATCGGCAACCGATGCTTATAGCCTCGACTGTGAAAACTGCACTTTT